TGGCACGATGGCCTAGGGCGGGCGGTACTGCCAACGTCACTGGTGGGAGGGTTACGAGAGGGCGCAACACCCTTCTCAGCCTTTCCACCAATGACGTTGGCTGTAACCGCCAGCCGTGTCACTGCCTTTAGGTAACATCTCACATCTTCCACACAGGGCATGTCCTGGCGTTGAGGAGAATTTTGCTGAAGAAGACCTGTCCTCCCCTCTCCCAAATCTTCTCCTCCGAGACGACCCCTCTTCCACAACTGACCCATGACTTTACCGATCGTTTCCGAAAATTTGCGATCGAGCGAGACGGGGAGGAGGAGGTGGAGGAGTGCGGGCAACCGCTCCGATAAGCTACCAAAAAGGTATTTCTGCAGCACCGTCGACTAGAGGTACGATTAGAGGTGATCCTTTCTAACGATCTGGCGTGTGACGGGGCGTGGACTGAAGTTCTGCCAAGGCGGCCTTTTCCACCAATGATGAAATCTCTCAGTCCGCAATAATTGGAGCGAAATGCTGTTCTCGCTTCTTGAGCCAAGTACGACCTCCGTAGAGGATACCCAACGTACGGCGTACCCTGCTTCCATAGCGACATCGGACATACAGACCCCGCGACTGCGCGGGACTAAGGCTTATTGCAAGGAGAAGAGGAAAGAAGTAGCAACATCTGACTGGAGGAACTAGAAGATGCTCCAGCTCGAGAACTTGGCTATCCAAAAAATAGTCAACTTTCTTTTTCTGAAAAGCCTAGCCAACAACGGTTTATGGTCCCAGAGCCGGCAGTGACCGGTGTCTCAGCGTCGCATTTTGGTGGACCCTGTCGGGGTCATTCAGTCTTTCTGAGCTTAGGTGTCTGAGACCAAGATCAGATGAGGAGGGGGGCACGTTACTGGCACAGGAAATACGGGCCGGAGTGTAGGTGTCGTCGCGCACGTGCTGTGGCATAGTTTCCGACGCTTGCCCCAGCTCGAATTTCCTGGACCGCATTCTAAAAATGTAGAGACCCTCCAAAGCCTTCGATAGTTTAGCCACAGTGTAGACCAGATACGCTTTTAAACGCTTCAATTCGGATATCAAACTGAATTTCGGCACCCTGAAAAAATTTCACGATACCGATCAATTTGTTCTTTTTTTTCGTCTACTGAGAGAGTACGAGAAACGTCTTCATTCGCCTTGCTTTCTCTCAGAACTAAACCCCCTAACCTTAGACTTACAGAACCGAGCTTAGGCTTGATTACGGCTCCGATCGAAGACTGCGTGCACGACCACAGGGCAAGGCGTCGAAAATCGAATTAACTGAACATGCGATGCAGCTTAGCCGTAATTATCGGACCAGAGACGGCTAGATTTCACTGGACGCTCAGAAAATAGCCGCAAGACCATCGGCTTCTTCTTGAGGGAGTGGCATAGAAAGCTCGCTCTTCCAATACAACTGAGAGTTACGAAGGCAATCCTTGGAGCGAACGAGTAGGCTACCCTCATTAAAGACCCAGTCCACGCTGATCGTGGGGGCGGAGAGGGTCAACCATAGATCTTGCTAATTGGTGCCTCTCTCCTCTGAGATGCTCAGGAGGAGAGAGGGGGATGAAAGAGTCCCCCTCGAAATCAATACAATAAGTTCCCTTTCTAAGTAAAGTCCCGAACAAAGGTCATGATTAGATCATAATTTTTTTATATACGATATCATTTTAAAGGATAAAGCCTTCTCTTCGATCACTCCTTTTTTGGATGCAGCACGCACTCACAATTGTTCGCTGCGGAAGTGCGATGTGTCAGGCCGGGGGGGGCTGGGTTTAGTGCTGCGCCATTCCGTTCTTCACCAGTTACGGAGGCTGGCTGATGGAAGACATAGTTGGTGGAAATGAGTTGTGCTACGCCAAGTCTTCACTCTACCAGGCGAATCGGGGGTAATTTGGCCGACTTCTGGGGGTAGAAGGCTTACTTGGCCTGGGTGGTAGCCGATCCAGAGTTTGATCTCCTGACCGCGCGCGTGATGAGCTAACCATTTGCCATTAGACTACTTCTGCTCATGCCTAAGATTAAGTAAACCAGAAAGGGAGCTGTTCGGCTCCGGGAACGGTACTTTATCTGGTTCCTTTTGCTAGTTCATATTTAAAGTGACAAGTCAAATTTTGTTGGGTCCTGTGAACTCTTGTGAAGCTTCGAAATAGTACAAGTAAGCCACTTCGGTTACAAGACTTTACAGGTTTCAATACCGATTCTTGCCCCCACCAACCCGGATTGCGCCCAAAAGTGTCTTTTTTCAGGATCGGTCCTGCCCTACCAATATCATGTTCGAGTGCTGGAATTCTTCATCATCCTAGCTTTTGCTCCAATTGAAGCTGTGCGACTTTCTTGGGGTAGGTCCATCAGCTACCGTCAGTACATACCTCTTCCAAGGCTATTAATGTTTGGTTGTTTCAAGGAATTCGTGGGAATCTGACGGAAACACCGGCTTTCCTGGCATTTTCGTTGCTGCTCAGCGTGCCGACGCTTTTAATTCTTGTCTATTTGGCAATTTTCCAGAATTACGGTAGGTTAAATGAAATGTCTTCTGTGGGCTGTTGTTGTGTATGTGAGCGATGCATACCATCGATTGAATTCCAAGAAGTTGATACTTAGAAGAGTGTTGTACGAATCAAACCAGTTTCCACAGCGTTTTTCAGATAGGCTGTACCCTTCAATTGATAGTCTTCGGGCGGAAAAATGAACTTTTAGGCTGATCTTATTTGATGATGCCAGGGGGACCGTCGTATTTTAGAACAATCGGATCAAATCCTGCCTGTGATGCGCCATACCTTCACTTCCGTACTGCGGAATCTTGATCAAGATTTGAGGGATTGCAAGCGCTGGGGTGTTCAGTTGCGCCTCCTGGCCTAATGCCTTGGCCCATCTCAAAATCGTGGCATCTTTCGGTCCGGAGCTATCAAATTAATTCTCTCTCATAAAGCCGATTCATGTATCAAGCTCTAGTGTTCATCCTTCCGAAAATATTTCCAACCAGCTATCGATTCGGAGAAACCTCGCGGAAACGGGTAGGCAATAGCCGTCGTAGGAATCTCCAGGCCATATGTATTGTACGCCACGCTATCTTTTGCTTCCATTATGCGGATTTCGGGACGATGTCTCGGCTTGAGGGCAGGAATTGCGGGGAGGGCGGGCATTTTGCACCCTGCTGGATTCTTTTGCTACGCCTTTTACAGGAATTCAGGAATTTACGGGTCTCCATGGGAGGCATCGGCAGTGATCGATGAGAACCAGCGAAATCAGGGTCCTTGGTTGGAGATTTTGGTCGAGTCCGTGCGACCCCTCCCCTTTTTTAGCAGCCTTTAGTACGACCCTGCGTTCCCTCGGACGGCGCGGCAGGGGTGACAGGGTATCTAGTGTAGTACAATGAAGAAGGAAAATCACAAACTCCTTTAGAACGTCAGAAGGGAAATGCGATCCTCCCCTCACAAACAACGAACCAATACGACCTCCCCCCTCTTACAACGTCCGTGAATCAAGAAAAATCAACTATCAAATTAAATTTTAATCAACCCAAATACCCTCTCCTAGCGAAACAAATCACCGACCTCCACACTGTTGGGAAATCCCCAAGCAACGAGTGGCCCTGAAGCGAAGAATCCACGCTAAGCGAACTGGCCTACAAATCCTATAGCGCCTAAAATTCTTGTTCGAAGAGCTTTAAAGATGAGACGTGCTCTGATCCGTTTGAATTTCCAGTTGCTCTTAATCGAAGCAATTATTCGTCGCATAAGTGAGAGTACTGACAATCATGAAACGCTGACAAGCGACTTGCCGTGCTGTGCCGACATGTATTCAACGTGGCGTGTTATTTATTATTTATTTATTTTATTTATCTATTTATTTATGTTACTATCAGAAATAAACCCGAAATTGCGCCACATGAGATTGTATTGTATAACAGATTGTAAACGGCACAGTTAAGAGGAAAGAGGTGTTGGGAAGAATAACAGTAGCCAAACAAAAGCACTCACGGCGCTGCAGGGCCGAAAACTCCCCTAGGTTAAAGGAGCCTTGTCTAGGCGCAGCCCACCTTAACCGTTGTTATTCCTTATAAAGAAGGTCTCCTCCCGTTAATGCCACTTGTTCGTTGGCGGAAACGAAAAGCAAAAAAAATAACAATATCGCAGTCACAGACCTTGCCAACACTTATATGTGCCTTGGATTATTTAGAATTATGATGATGCGGTTGCGATGGGATGATATTTTCAGGTGATATTCTCTAGGTGTACTCACTCGTATAATAAGCCAGAAGTTGTTTTTGTTGTCTGTGCGTCGCTCGACCGCCTGAAATTGGGGTTTCGTGGAAATTCACTTTCAAGGGAACTGATTGTGCTTGGGATAAACGCGGCATGGGCCAGCATTTGCAGAGCACACACAAGTCACCTAAGCTCCGCCCACAATGGGCGGGGCTTTCGCCAAACTGGACAAAGCCGAGGATAAAAATCTTTCGATAAACCCATACGGAGCACACGAAAACGAGGGATTCATGAGTGAACTGAGCAACAGGTAGAGTTACGACAAATTTGAGAGGGAGAACACCGTATATACTACGAATGAAACGGTAAGTTCGGTAATTTTTGAAAATTTTTTTTCGACGAAAACTGGACACAGGAAAAACGCTGGAGCAATACCAACTTCACACGCGGAAGGAGGATCGCCCGTCTCGTCCGCGCGCTTGTACCTTAGTTCTTCCTAACAGGCACATTCCTAACGCTTGACGGTCCGCGGGGGGACAGGTCAAAACTTTTTTCCTACTTCTTAAATGGCAAAAAGGAAGAAGACGACTGTCACTGAAGAAAGGTAGTGATTGAGCGCTGTGCCCATATTATTAGCACCGATTGTGCTTTTGAATATTTCTTACGATCTTGGGAATTCAAAAACAGGTAAGCAATCTGATCATAAGTATTGGAAAAACTGACCGTCTATGCGTACGAAATGTCAAAAGCGCTTTGCATGGTGATGTGGGGACTTTTAAAATCTCCAAATTCTGGGACATTTCAATGTCTTTTTGGATCATTGGGTTGGTCCTTGCGACTGAGCTTGATGCCAGGGCACATCGTGTTGGAATCCAATAGGGAGGGGGGGTCGTGTTTGGGTTCCGCAGGAGGGGAGGGTTATTGGCAGGGAAAAATTATTTTTAATATTAGGTTGTCCGGAAAGGAATTGCGCGTTCTGGAGCTCAAAAAATTTTTTTTATAAAAACCACGAAATGACAAATAAAATTCAAAAGACTAAATCCTCCATTAAGTAATCACATTGACTTGTTGTCAACATTTATGCAAAAAAATGGATTCCTCTTCTGAAGAACTCGACCGGCTGCGACTCAAAGAAGTTGGACACCCAGAGTTGGACCTTTTTCGCGGTTTGTGAATTTTCTCTCGGCCAGGGAGTTCTGCATCGACCGGAACAGATGGTAATCGATGGTGCCAGGTCTGATCTGTGTGGCGGATGAGCAGACTTTTCCAAGGGGCCCAATTCCTCAATTTTTTTCTAGAAGTGATTTTTTCGCCAACATGTGGCAAGGAGCTGTTGGGTCGTGTGGATAAAATTTTGTCCGACACAACGTCGGTTTCGACCAACTTTGTGAAGGACAGCAGTGCTGGATCACATTGGCGGTTCAGGTTAGGGTGTTTGCAGATGTCCGCCGTAACCGTCTGACCCGATTCCGGAACTTCAAAGTACATCAAACCTTTGCTATTCCACCAAACACGGAACATCACCTTTTATTGCCGCCGTTATATCAGGTTTCGCGAGTCCGTTTTGGGGGTCATGAGTCGTTAAAGGGCCTGTTCTTGTGGTGCGGTTGCGTTATCGAAGCAGACCTTTTTCTCATTTGATGTAATAATAGAGTCGAAAAAACCGCTGTTCTTGGAGCGACGAAGAAGAATTCCGGCCATTGCCACTCGTGTTGCCTTGTTTGCGTCGCTCAGCTGGTGCGGCACCCGCTCTTCCCAACTTTTTTTCCCCAAAAAAAAGCAAAAGTCATGGACAAAAATCTGTAATCAAACGGCACAATAAAAATCTCTTTCTAATAGACAAAACTGTCTCCAAAAATCTTCTATAGTAGGAGAGAAAAAATGGACAAGTTCAAAAAATTCAACGCGCATTCCTTTCCGGACAACCTAATAGTTAATTTTCCTTCCCCCCCTTCGACCTGCTCCGATTTTCGATGGGGAGGGAACAGAGGCCGAGTTGGGGAGCGGGTAGTTACAACTCCAAAAAGGGGGGAAGGGGGTTGTAAACAAGGCTCACTTTGACTAAAATCCCCAATCAATGATGTGCCCTGGCTGACTGCCGCACATACAGCTTTTATTCTCACTGGCGTGTAATGACAGCTGGTACGCGTGTGGTCCGGGGTCATATCTTGAGTGGATCCTCGGCCTACCCTCAAGGAACGGTAAAGTGTTTCTAGATTCGTCTGTTGTGAATGCAAATACGTGTTGACATTAGCTAGGCGTTCACGAGTATATTGTATGAGTCATATCGATAAAGAATCGCCACTATAATTCTGAATGGGGAGTGGCAGCATTAAAAAGGCCATTCTTCAACGCCGAAAAGCTCATCCATTTTATCCTCCACATCAACCGCTTTATCCGTATCCTTCGAAGAAAGCCCCGCTTCCGTCTAGTAAGATGAGATCCTGGTGAGCGAGATTCCCACTTCATCTTGAGTCGTATAGTTGCAGCTGGGGCCCATGCGATCGCTTTCAGCAAAAACGGCAAGAAGAGCTAGACGTCGGCATCCGGCTCCATAGCCCACACTGACTTGCCTCTGCAAAAAAACTTAAAAGTATCGCACAATTCCGAAACGGGGTTTTCTATTTTTTCGAGTCACAACTAAGCAGTTCATTGGGTGGAACACCCACTGTTTCGAGGGAACGGGGCGGGGATAGTGAAGAGTCAAAGAGTCAATGATGATAATATAGAGCACCTCCTGGATTGAGTTGGTCGATTACTGTTTTTGTGATATTGTCTTGCAAAATGTCTAATTTCTTTAATTTAATTTAATTCAATTTCTTTTTATTTCCTCAAACCAATATTTCACTAAATGCAAAAGTCTAATTACAAATAAATTCTGAAAAAGTGTTTTGCTGCTTATATGGCAATTTCAGAGCTGTTTTCGAACTGTGATTCTTTTTCAGGGGTAGCAGTTAGCAGCACTAAAGTTGAAGAAGAACGCAGGACGGGACTGTACAGAGTAATTTTGTAGATGGATTGTATACTATCTGTTTCCTTGTTTGTAACATTCGTTTCTGAGGGCAGAGTCCACGCTGGTCGTACTGTCGGACACCCAGCCATTGCTGTTTCCTCAGTGATGCACCCCTCATTTGCAAGTGGTGAAGAGGAGGGGCGCTCCAAATGAGAACATTGAGTAGTAGGAGTGACTCCGCCTACACGACCAGTGTGGATTGTTTTTGAGCCTTATGTGAACTAGTTGCTCCTATAAATTAAAAGTGTCGTTTTTTTGTTACTCGAAATATCGCACTAAGGAGTGGAAGGATTTGTCCGTGATTATACACTGTTTTGCGCAGAAATTCCTTGATCGCTTATACGATAAGTCTTCTTAGCTTCCTTGAAGTTTCTCTTTTCATT